AGTATAAAGTACTTTGAGGTTACTGTTGTTGTAAACCTGAATTGAATAGAATATATTTTTACCATACAGATCAAATTAAATTCAAATTAAACACCTGCAAATGTAAAGGAATAATTATTGTGTTCATGCCTTTTGTTTGCCATTATGGACAGCACGTCTGCATTTGGTTGTAAAGGTGTCAGTGGAAAATGAGTTATGAAACCTAAATAACTTACACAGGAATGTTCCTCGCGGCAGAATCGTGTGGTACTGTACAAATGGCGTCTCCCAGACCTGTCTGAACTCATGTAGGTATTTCCAGTTCCAACGCCTGATAGAAAAAGTGACTCGTCTCAAGTCAAAACACGATGATATTATCATAATACCTCATTTTCACTATCAATTTTCTGTTAATTTATTTGGATATTTTTTTTACAGCAATTACAGCAAGAAGGTGCAGCTTTGATAGTATTCTGAAGAATGTAACTACAACCTAAAGTACCTGGGTCCTATTCACCACATCTGGAACTTATTATTATAAGTATTCATGGCATGTGCTGACATACAGTATGTGCTGCTCCACTTCACTGTTGACAAATACTGTATGTGTAAAGTCTATTGTGTGGGTGTATTAGCGGCAGACAGGAGCATTTTTTCTTGAAGTCTACTTGATTCTCTTTTAGAACTTTCTGAATAATCTTATACATTTTTATAATTAACAAGTTTATGATTCAGTTTTCTTTGTACATTGGTACTATATATGATGCAACTCTAAAGATAGAGGAGGGTTTTAAATTTAGAAAAGCACCATGTCTTTTGACGTTAAGGGCAAATAAATCTGTTGTTTTAGTACATATACAACCCAATTTGCTCAATTCAAAAGCCTGTATCTTTGATGTTATGGGGGTGCATGAGTGTCTGTGGAATTGGTAGCTTGCACATTTGCAATGACACCATAAATGCTGAAAGATATATCCAGGCTTTAAAGAACTATATGTTCCCAAACAGATGGCATCTTAAGTTCTAGGGATGGCCTTGCATATTTCGGCAGGGCGATGCTTATAACTGTCTTACTACATACTGTTACAACAGCATGGCCCGCCTACAGTCCAGACCTTTAACCAACAGAAATATCCAAAAGTGTTGAGCAGCAAGAATTCTATATAGGAAAAAAAAACTTTCCTCATCTAAAAATCTAGTAAGGGGTCTCCTCAGTCTACAGACATTTGCAGATTGTAGTTTTAAAAAAGGAAGACTGCTATAGAGCAGTCAGCAAGGCCCTGTTCCAACTTTTTGGAAATGTGACATCATAAAATGTTTCAGTTTAAACATCAGATATTAATTTATCAATGTTCTGTTGTGAATAAAATAGGTTTTGGATTATTTTTTTTACTTTTACATAAAAAATGAACTTCAAAATTATTTAATTATTTTTTTTGGGGGTGGGGGGTTTTCCACAGTGTTTACCACCCTTAAACATTACCTTTATGGTTTCTGACAACATTTGAGTGAAGAAGAGGCCAGGTTACGTTTCTAGTCTTGACAAGCTAGGAGAATGATCCTTTTGAATAAATTACAAGACTGCTCAGACAGAGTAGGTGGACACCATCCCACTTTCCCACCATAAAAGGCATTGCATTTAATTCCATTCTCCTCTACCTGCATCCTGAGATGTAATACAGAGAGACCAGAGTGATGCGAGTGTGGCTACAAAAGCCTGACAGGGAGTGAGAAAATTAAACAATCCTATAGACAAAGCAGTTATGTGAAAAAGATGGGGTGGCTGCCTGATGGAAAGTGCTGCTAGAAAATAAGAAAAGAACTAACGTGTTACATAACAGCTGGATGGCTGTAGGCAATTACATGTTCAAACATACATAAATTCCTACTTTAAGAGCATGTACATCTCTTAATCCAGCACTATGGTCAGAAGTATTAGCAATACTATCCTGTGGTTCTTTTTTTGTACTTTGAGTCATTTATTTACATCCTGTTTCTGTGGACATAAGTGACGCACGACAGACACAAATATGGGACGTGCGTTCTAACCTGTGTGTCCTGCTGTGTGTGTGCTTATGTCAGGTGTTCGTACAAAACACGGGGCAAGTTTGGAGACATCACTGTGATGGTTGTCGAGGTTTCCTTGAAATGAAGTTCCATGTTATAATTATTGTGACGGCTTCAAAACAAACTTGTCCCGGCATAATTTGCTCTTAAGAACCACTAAGGAATTAGGCTGCCACTCTGGCCCTCATTTCCACAAATGCAGTGTTGTTAGTTCCAGTTGTTTCTCAGAACAAATGAGTCTGAGATTGACCGTCACAGTGCAGGCGATGGGTAATTCTCCATAGCGCTTGGAAAACAAAGGTTATATCATAGTTAAAACATATAAACTCTACATGGACTTGATTTTTTTTTTTCATTCTATTACAGCATTGCTGTATGAGTAAAATATGAAATATGCTTGTATGTTGTACATTTATATGGCAAATACTATAGCATGCACTTTGAGGTAACCCCAGCCTTAAGTGTAGTCAAACAGACAAAAAAATAATGAATGTCACATGTCAAGGTGGTAGGTTTGAAGGATTGCTTGCTCAGCGTGGTTGAAGCAATGGATTAATTTTCTGATTTAACATTTACACACAGTGCCCTCAAGTGACAATATGAGACTATTACACATTGAACATCAGGAACTTTACCATCACTGCAGGTAGTCTTTGTGGAAGTTCACATTTTACATCTTCCCAGCTAAAACAGCACAAGGCTGCATTTATAAAAATTCTATAGAGCATCCTGAGATGTGCACTTACGGTCTCTTCGATATTTTAGTCTATTTAAGAGCAGTTCTGTGCTGTGAGAGGTTTTGTCTCAGTAAAGGAAAATATCCAACTACTGTTTGCGCTGTGAGCTTCGTGAGCACTGGATGCCATTGAACTGGTGAACAACAACAGTATCTTCAGTTCTTAAAAAACAGAGAAAAAGAAACGATGGTGTAAACTATGACAAATCAATATACGCCTGAGTGATGAGGTGAAAAAAGGGAAAGACCCCATTTAATGGAGCAGTTAAGAGCAGTCATACTGACAGGGGACAGTCAACAGTCAATCTGGCTGTGAGCTCCCTCTGCAGGACTGGTGTATGTGGTGCTGGTGATGTTTCTGTAAAGCTGCCCTGGCTGTGTGAGGGCGAGTTATTGCTGGTCTCTTGAGGATTTTGGATATCTCACACTTCTGGCCTGGCTGCTCACCAGAGTCCATCTTCACACTAAAAGATAGAGATCTTTTTTAATGTCCACATTCCACTGACCAAGTTGAGATCACAATATGGTGATGTCACTGATTTACAAAACTCAACTGAACATTTTACAACAAAATGTGTTGTTTCAAATGTGACTATTTAAATATAAAGATACTTTTTAA